TTTTTGTCATTGGTATTTGCGGTGAATGAGGTCAATATGAATTCCAAGACCTTACCAAATGGCAGCCTTGGGCTTCCACATTTATGATAGTTACCTAAATGCAAGGATGACTCATCAAAACACATTGAAACTTCTTTCCAGCTACAAAATAATTGTTCCAAATTTTAAATGTGATAAACAAAAGAATCTGATAGCTGTCATTGGGGGACTTGATTGTGAAATCTCCCTTTACATGGCTACACTCTTAGGCATCTACAAGATTCCACAGGTAGAATGTGGGGGGGGGCAGATGGACATGATTCTTTTTCAACTTTTATTTATGTGTTGTTCTACTATATCCATTTTTCTTTTTCTTTGTTGTCTTCTGTAAGAAAGACAGAGAAAATAAGGGAGAGATGTGTTGTTGTTGTTTAGTCGTTTAGTCATGTCCAACTCTTCCTGACCTCATGGACCAGAGCACGCCAGGCACTCCTGTCTTCCACTGCCTCCTGCAGTTTGGTCAACCTCATGTTAGTAGCTTTGAGAACACTGTCCAACCATCTCGTCCACTGTTGTCCCCTTCTCCTTGTGCCCTCAATCTTTCCCAATATCAGGGTCTTTTCCAGGGAGTCTTCTATTCTCATGAGGTGGCCAAAGTATCATGCTCAAGATAATAGCAATTGTCAATTTCTTACCATTCTCTGCTGGTAAGATAGGTGATTTATTGCATTTCATTCCTAAGATCAGTAGAGGAATAAGAAATAAAAATAAAGTTTAGATTTTTTTTTTTGTTAGTGTCCTTTTCAGAGATATTTTATTAGCATTCCATCTACTAAGCATATGTGTTCATATGCCAAACTGGGAGTCATCCAGACTTCCTTTTGTGCCATGTTTCTAGGCACAGGAAAATCAGCAAACATTGATTGGGTTTTCTGTTGACTGCTGTTCCTCTGATTCAGCTATAAAATGTGAGCTTTCCTGGGGAAACTGCCAGGATGCCAACAACAATAATCCCTTAGACACGGAGCTTTAAAATGTAGACCTGTACCTAGAAAGCATGCACCAAAGAAAGATAAACCCTTAGTGGCATAACTGCCACTTTTCCTTCCAAGTAGTGTAAGAAACTAAGGCACAATGTGGGAAGTATAATGTCCTTACTCCTGATACTATAGGGCAGCAGGTTTGGAATGCATAGAAAACCTGCAAAGTAATCAACATTTTGCGGATACCCAAACAAAGACCCATTGACTACTCTCACCTAGTTTAGCTGGCCAGTCAAAGATGTTCCTGGTGTGTGGCCACTGTCACATGCTGACAGCTTCTAGGAGCCACAGGTTAGAGCTGAGTTCAGGGTGGGGACCAAAGGTGGACATACTAGCCCAGAAGAAGAATGGTATGTCCCCCCCCCAACCAGAAGTACTACACTTTCTCTTACACGCCATAAACCCCATTGCATTTTGCCAGTGTATGATTATTTCATGACAAATGTATTGTTTTCCTTTGCTTTAGATTGCCTACTGTATGAATGCGCCAGTGGTGCATAAAAACCAGCTCCCTCCATTTTACCGGATGGTACCGAATGAAGAATATCAATACGCAGGGATTGTCCGTCTTCTTCTTTCATTTCAGTGGAAATGGGTTGGGGTCCTTACAATGGAGAATGATAATGGAGACACATTTGTACAGACTTTAATGCCAATGCTTTTGAAGTATGGAATCTGTATAGCCCTCAATAGCAAAATACCAGCTATAACTTCATGCTATAGATATGTGAGTTCATTTGAATCTATCCTAGATAAGGCCAGTTATCTATCTGATTCTAAAATCACAGTATTGATTGTAAATGCAGAAAATCCCACAATAACATCTTTGACATGGACAATATATTTATATGCAATGTTGAAAGGCATTGTAGAGACTTCCATAAGGAAAGTATGGATTATTACAGTCCAATGGGATTTTTCATCAGATACAATGCACAGAGCTTCAGATATACGAGTCTTTGATGGTGCATTGTCTTTTGCAATGCATTCAGATGAAGTGCCCGGGGTTCAGGAAATACCTTCAGACCCTAAATCCAAACTCACCAAAAGGAGATGGTTTTATGAGAATATTCTGGGAACAGGTATTCAATTGCTTATTTCCTGATTCTAATGCAGGGAAGGAAAATGCTAATATTTGCACGGGTGAAGAGAGGTTGGAGCAGCTCTCTGGAACACTCTTTGAAATTAGTATGACTGGCCAAAGTTATAGCATCTACAACGCAATCTATGCCATAGCACATAGTTTACATAAGATGTACGTGTTCAGATCAAAACACAGAGCAATGCTGGACAGAACTAGATTTAATCTTCCAAATCTACAACATTGGCAGGTAATGTTTCACATCAAAAGCACCTATATTGTAAAATCTATTTTGGTATCTGATTGCACTCAATTAACTAGACACCAAATATACACATACATAATTTAATTTTCCTTGAACATATTTATTTCTCCCATGCAATTGATTTCTCTTCAATGGGGGTGATATTGGATTAGTCAAGTTTATAGTATACAGTAACTTTTTCCCTTCTGCAATTAGAAAAGACAATTCTTAAAGAATCTGAAACTCATTAATGTTACAATGAATGATCAAAGCACTGTTTCTGTCTCTCTCTCACACACATTCTTTTGCCAGAATATATCTCTTCACTCTCATGCCTTGAAAGACAACTGGTGCCAAATCTGTATAGTTTTTGGGACCAGTAAAAAACTTCTCTCTTCTCTGTTTGTGGTATTATGAATTTTAATGTATGAGGCTTTAAAAATTTGTTGGTATTATTTAGCAATTATTATATGTTTTCATTTTCTTATAACCCATTATAGGATCACTATATGATGAAGGGCAAGGTATAAATTCAACAAATGAAGAAATAAGCATTCTTTGTCTCTTTTCATTCTAGCTTCACTCTTTCCTAAGGAGCATCTCATTTAACAACACTGCTGGAGATACAGTATCCTTTAATGAGAATAGTGAATTAGCAGCTGGTTATGATATAATAAACTGGGTTACTTTCCCAAACCAATCTTTTGTAAGAGTGAAAGTTGGAAGGATGGAGCCACAACCTATAATGGATAAAGAGTTTGTCATTGTTGAGGAGGCTATCACATGGCACTACATGTTCAACAAGGTAGGTTCTAAGTATAGTATAAAGAGAAAATGTTTAACAAGAAGTGTTTCAATATTGAACTTTGATAAGCCCTCCCAGACTGCCATGCATGGGAGCTGTATCAAAATTTCACAAAGCTATTGATTAAAGACAGAGTGATCAATTTTGTACTGTATCTGTATTAATGCAGCATTCGTATTTAATTGTGACAAGCGGTGGCATAGGAAGGGGTACGATGGGTGCGGGCAACCCCAGGTGTCATCACTGAGGGGGGTGACCGTGGGGCCAGGCCTGAAGAGCACCCAAGCCACACGTCTCTCCTGGGGAGTGATGTAAAGACTCTGGCACCTGCAGGCTTCACGCTGCCCAAAACAGCAACATGGGGTTTGCGGACTCTGTGGAGGTTCCGCACAGCATGCTCTGCCCTGGCTTGCCCCGCCTGTGGGCAGCTTGCCCCGCCCCTGGGTGTAAGGCATATGTGCTGCCCTGGGCACCCGAACAGCTAGCTACACCGCTGGTGACAAGGAAATTAGGTCAGATAGTGTAGGGTTTCCTGAAAGCTGCCTCCAGGTTACATTGGTATCATGCCATCATCATGGGGCTGCCCTTGAGGAGCGTTCAGAAGCTTCAAATTGGTTCAAAATATGGCTTTCACACTGGGCTGGAGCCACCTCATGATATCATTTTGAACTGACCTTGGCCTATATTCACTGCTTGTTAATTGCTTGTGACAGAGGGAGGGAAGTCATCCTGGGCAATGCAGAGATCATTATTTTCCTCACCCCATGCAAGCAAATTTTGACAGTCACCTTGGCATCACAATTATGTCTGGTGAATTTGTTTTAATTTTTTATTATTATTATTATTATTATTATTATTATTATTATTATTATTATTATTATTACCTAAAGGGATCTTGCAGAAGCTTCCTCCAATGAAGCTATTTATGTAGTGCTTTGAACATGCCTCAACACCCTTTTGGCTGAGTCACGTTTTACATGCCAAAGATGATATAAGGCAAGTGGGCATTGCTTGACCAAAATTTCCTCATGGGCCAAAATGGGATGGCTGGTGGGCCTAATTAGGCACATGAGCTAGACGTTCTCCACTGCTTCTTTACAGAGGTTCAGATGAGGAAGCTGGTTTTGACCTTTAAAGAAGTTGGGAAGGAAAAATGTGGTAGTATGTGGGGTGAAGCAAGGAAAAAGGGAGGATGTCTACCAGCACACAGACATATGAATATTGCGCCTGACCATTTTTGCATATAAATCTTTCCTCAGTAGCACTCTTAGGCAACTAGAGTCTGATGCAAATAATTTATTGATTTTGACATTTTTCAAAAATCATCAAGTGTCTGATCCTTTCCATTTATTTACAGTGGAGTCCTATACCTGTAAGATCTATTGAAATCAAGGTGACTTACTCTCAATCCCAGATCAGTGTCAGATTTAGGGTGATGTGGGTGGTTCCGTGCACATGGTGCTGAGCCAAGGGGGAACACAATTTAGAAGAACCATAAATGAGAAGATCGATTTGAGGGGCACCAAATTGTGGTCTTGCACAGGACACCATATTACGAAAGATTACCAAAGTCTTCGCTTGCCCAGATAAGTGTATAATGCAAGTGTGGGGAACTTTTAATCCTCCAGATGTTGAACAACAACTCCTTTTATCTTTGGCCAATGGCCATACCTGCTAGGGCTGATGAGAGCTGCAGTCCAGCAAGATCTGGAGGGCCAAAGGTTCCCCACACCTGATTTAAAGACTTACAGTCTTGGATATCTTGGTGTCTTCCTTTAAAACTTCTTGTTGTTAAGCAAGTACAAGAGCAATTCATTTTCCTCCTCTGTTTATGGATAGATGCTGCCTGTTGCCATGTGTAATGAAAAGTGCCACCCAGGCTACAGAAGAAAAAAGAAAGAGGGTGAGCCATTTTGCTGCTACGATTGTGTTCCATGTCCAGATGGAAAGATTTCACACCAAAAGGGTAGGAAATATAGTGTTGTGAATATACAGCCTAATAAACTGAGTGCATTTGGCAATACACTAAATTTGTTTCTCATTTCCACTCATTAGGAGTAACCAGTAGTAATTTCTCAGCTTTCCCACTTGAATAGTCTTCTACTAGTCTCTGATAGGCCTTATAAGGTGATGCTGTTTGAAATGTTGTATATGGTCTATTGTTAAAGCAGAACCATGAAATAACTAAAAACTATTTTCATGCTTAAAGCAGTCTACATATGACTTGTTCTGCAGATTTTAGTTTTGTACTCTCAAATTAATGTGAAAACAGGACATAATAGTACTTATGTGATAAGGTTATGCTGAAGTGACACAGAGAGGATTTTTTTTTCACCTATTAGTCTTCCAGTCTATGGTTTCTTAAAAATCCTCTTGGAGTGCTTGCTGAGTTCTGTTTAAATTAAATTTGCATCATAGATGTGCGAAATAAATACAGTGGTACCTCAGGTTACAGACTCTTCAGATTACAGACACTTCAGGTTACAGACTTTGCTAACTCAGAAATAGTACCTTGGGTTAAGAACTTCAGGATGAGAACAGAAATTGTGCAGCAGCGGTGCGGCGGCAGCGGGCAGCCCCATTAGCTAAAGTGGTGCCTCAGGTTAAGAACAGTTTCAGGTTAAGAACGGACCTCCAGAACAAATTAAGTTCTTAGCCCTAATTACCACTGTATAGAGCTATCTTGAGGAGAACAATATCATTTTTGGAAACTTCTTTTAAATACCCATAATTGAAGGGCTATGTTTATATTGAACAGAGCAGAGCTTGCTGACAGTAGTGAATGAGGAATTGATACTGACACATGATTTGTTATAATTTTTCAGACATGGATGATTGTGTACAATGCCCAGAAGATAAATTTGCAAACAAAAACAGAGACAGATGCCTTCCTAAGGTCATAGATTTCCTCTCTTTCTCAGAACCATTGGGCATCACTTTATCTGCTTTTAGTTTGACATTTTCACTAATTACAGCTTTGGTGCTAGGCATTTTCATCAAGTACAAAGACACTCCCATCATTAAAGCCAACAATCAGAACCTCTCTTTCTCACTCCTGAGCTCTCTATTTCTATGTTTCCTTTGTTCCTTCCTATTCATTGGCAAGCCCCAGTCAGTGACCTGCTGTTTACGGCAAACTGCTTTTGGCATAATCTTTTCAGTAGCTGTTTCTTGTGTCTTGGCAAAAACTATCACTGTGGTTATTGCATTCATGGCTACCAAGCCAGGGTCTAACATGAGGAAGTGGGTTGGGAAAAGACTCACTAATTCGATTCTTATTGGTTGCTCTCTTATTCAAGTCATTATTTGTGGTATATGGTTTTGTACAGCTCCTCCATTCCCAAATTTAGACATGAACTCGTTGGCTGAAAAAATCATAGTAGAATGCAGTGAAGGGTCAAACACAATGTTTTATTGTGTTCTGGGATACTTGGGATTTCTGGCCATTATCAGCTTCACCGTGGCTTTCCAGGCCAGGAGATTGCCAGACACTTTTAATGAAGCCAAATTCATCACTTTCAGCATGTTGGTCTTCTGCAGTGTTTGGTTGTCCTTTGTTCCCTCTTACTTGAGCACAAAGGGAAAACACATGGTGGCAGCAGAGATTTTCTCCATCTTGGCCTCCAGTGCTGGGTTACTGGGTTGTATCTTTGCTCCCAAATGCTATATAATTATCCTGAGACCAGACCTGAACACCAAGGACAAGCTAATAAGGTGAAATATGCAGGAATTTGGTCTGGCAGGAGTTAAGCTTTTGGTCCTAAAAATCATGTGAAATATTATGCTTTTGCTCACAATTAATGGGTCAGGGTGATGACTCATGATGGGTGACCTGTAGTTAGAAATGTTGGTAGAAAAGGGGTAGCTGAGTGGTAGCACTATGGCTTTGCAGCTCCCAGCTTAATTCCCTGCTTCTCTAGGTAGGGTTGGGAGCGGCTGCCAGTCAATGTAGACGAGGTGGGATCAAATGGTCTGATTCCGTATAAAATGTCCTGACTGAATGTTTGAACTTAAAGCACAGTATAGATACATCAAAATTTGAAGAGAATCATAAGAAATGATAAATTTTATATTGGAAATATAGTAAATATTTCCAGATATTATGTGTATCTAGAATTTGCTATAAAGCAGGGGTTCCCAAACTTGGGTTGCCAGCTATTTTTGGACTCTGAATTCTCATCATCCCTGACCACTGATCCTGTTAGCTAGGGATGATGGGAGTTGTAGTCCAACAGCAGCTGGAGACCTAAGTTTGGGAAACCCTACTGTAGAGCATTCAATTACATAAACATCTATTTATGCCTCTCTCCCCTGTTCTGTTTCCTTATTCTGCAAAAAGAAAATGCAGATTCTGAATTTGAAGCTCTTATGATGTTGAATAACTAACACAAGGGAGTTGCAACCACATAGGAAAATAAGTATTCCAGAGACAAAGGTTGAGGGAACTAGGCCATATTTATTAATTTAACACAAGAGATCTGCAGAAAGGATACAAGGTGTGAAATACTAATGGCACATGACAAGATGGACAAACCAACCATGCCAAGGGTAAGATGTAGTATCCTAGTATGAGGACAGGCAAAGCATTACTACTCAGAATCCCAAAAATCAGCCAGCAAATGTCTACACTTAATAAAGGTTTGGAGGGTGGACGGGAAGGTGGAAAATGAGGCAGAATGGCTGGCGCAGCAGTAAGTTAAACTGCAAACCACGCCCTTCCAAGCTGCCCGATTAGGCGCTTACCTGTGGGCCTGGTGCGCCAGCCAGGTGAGTGGGGGCAGGGCGCGTAACGCCCCTTGCATGAGGCAGAAGTCGTGTCCTGCCCACAACACCTCCCCTCTTGCAGGAGGAGAGGCTTTCTCACAGTGAGGGAACTGCCAGAAGGCCCTCAGCACTGGACCTCAGTGTCCGGGCTGAACCATGGGAGTGGAGATGCTCCTTCAGGTATACTGGGTCGAGTCCGTTTAGGGCTTTAAAGGTCAGCACCAACACTTTGAATTGTGCTGGGAAACATAGGTCTTTCATACATCCAAGGAGCACAGAGTGGCCCCTCACCGCTTCCAAGGAGATCAATGGATGCAGTCCCCTCACACTCCGCCTTTGTCCCGGGCAGTCAAAAAATGCTCGCCCACCACTCGCAGTATTGAGGGGTGGTTTCCCCTCCAAATAGGGCAACTTTGAATGGGCCAATCAGAGGTTCCAGGTGGATGGCAGTGCCTTACTGGCTGGCTGGGCATTGGGCTGCTACACCATCCAGCCTTACAGCAAAGTTTAAAAGGCTGACTGTGTGAGGCTTCTGCAGCGCAGTCAGCTGAAGAGCAAAACCTCCCCCACCCCCTTTACATTATTCCATTTACACTTCAGGGCAATTACTCATCATGCTTCTAAAATGTATTTTCCTTTTCAGGTTCTGCTTAACATTGCTTTCCCCCTAGATCTTACTCAATGGTTTTCTTGTACCTCCTGATCTTGCTATGGTTGCTGTATTCAGAACTGGGAAATCATCTCCCTGTAGGCAAATCAGAAGGTTGGGAGGTTTCACCTTCTCCATAGCAAAACGTCACAACTGTGAAAGCATTAGAGGAATCCAAGTCTTCAAACACAGGGTGAAGTGGTGCATCACCCACCATGGTATCAGAGCTGTATTCAGGACACCCCATTAGAAGGGTCTTGGTGGAAGTCCCTATCTAGAAGCTAAGTTTAGGACAGACGGGCCATCGGGCTTCCAGCTGTAGCCTTAGGATGGCCAGCTCAGTAAATCAATGCCATGAAGAGGCCATAGTCCATGGCACAACCCTGAAGCAGTTCCAGCACTCCAGCAGGAGGCTGAAATGGATATACACACAATGCCAGAGCCAAACTTCCACCTATACCTGTAATCAATAAAGTTGTGGTCATTTTTATCCAGATAGTTGTCTCCTTGAGTTTGTACCGTCACACCTCACGTGGTATAAGGCCAGGGAGAGAAGGCACAGTATAAGGGGAAGAGTTCTCTCACGAACATGCTTTGTGATCACAGCATGCCTCTGACAGCTGGCTCAGGAGATGGGAGACTTGAGATCCTCCTTTGGGATGAATTATTTTGATTGGCAGATCCTTTAGTTGTTACATTTTAATAAATACAAACTCTTACCCATCTTTCTTGCCTCATGTCTTCTTGTATGTGTTGCCAATGAGCTTCCTATTACACACAAACATGCATACTTAGAAGTGTCATAAGCCACACTTTGTATGGAATTGAAAAGATAGTTTCTTGATTAACTTTCTCAATAAACCTTAAGATTGATTGAAGATATCATGTAATGTTCTGGGCATTTATTTTATAGAATGTAGGGTTGCCGTGTGTGTGTGTGTGTGTGTGTGTGTGTGTGTGTGTGTGAAAGTTGCTGAGCTTTTTTTGGCGAACATCCACCACCCAAAAAAGAAAAAGTTCAGAGGCTATTGGGGATTTTTATGGGACCCCTCCTTTAATTATCCCCCTTAACATATGCCCAGGATTTTCCAGACATTTTCTGCATACATTTATACCATATAAATATGGTATCCTTTGAAGGAAGGGTGGAATAATTAATTAATAAAAAGCCGTCCAAAAAAATCATTTCACTTTCTTTCTTAAAGATCAATGCAACTAAATTAATTATTTATTTTTTACCTATGTAAGACAGTATACTGTATTATGGTAAATTGGAATGAAATACATGTAGTAGTGAAAGTAAAATTACAGTGCATTCTACTTGGAAAGAATAAATAATTTTAAAATGTTTATATTAGGCAAAACTGTGTACAAAATGTTCATATAAAGAGAAAGGCACACTAGAATTTTCATTTAAAGGAACTAAGTTTAACAATGGAAAAATGAGAAACTGAGAAAGACCCACCCAGGTACAAGCATTTTTGCATTGCAAGCATAATTTTCATTTTTAGCTATCTCAAATTTGTTGAGATGTAACTTCAAAATAAGTATTCCCCTAAAGAATTGTCTTTCATAGAGACAAACATGTTTGCTGAAGCAATACCACAGAGGAACTTTCTGAAAACAGGTAATTTTCATCCACCTCCCTAGATCATTAATTGGGGTGTGGTCAGTTTTGCTCCCTTTAGAATACACTACCAAGTTGTGCAGACACTAGCAAAAATAATAATAATCAAGAGCACAGTGAGTGGTTTAAATACCCCCTACACTGCTGCTATCTGAGCCTCCAATATCTGAGGCCTTAAGGTTTGTATTGCTGACAGCAGAGTAGAGTATCAGTAAAGTAGAATCCGACTGGCATACTCCTAGACATTCTAAGGAGGATGGGGAAACAACGAATTCGGTGTTTTGAGGGAAGATCTGAGGAAAGATTTGCATTTGCGATATTACTGGTCTTGTTGCATATTATGATGCCTCACATGGCAGACAAAAGTAATCATTGCATTATTAGTGATCCCATCACTGTTCGTCACAGGTATCTACAGTCTGGTGATCTCATAATTGGTGGAATTATTTATCAGTTCTTGCTGCCTGATCAACTGCATAGCTTTGATAAAGACCCTCGTGATGAATTGATTGAAGAAACTCTGTAAGCCTGCCTTCCTGTCTGTCCTCCCTCCCTCCCTTCTATTAAGTAGAGCTTTCCGGGCATATACTCACAAAGACCAGCTACATGTATTGAAATTAGCAACAATAATATGTGTACTGTTTTCTTTGCGTAGAGTATATGCATGGACTGCAGCCAGTAAAAGAGCATGTATTAGTGGGATTGCCATGAGCACCACAAAAGGCTCATCCATGATTAGCTTTGCTCTGCACTTTCCAGGTCCAGATCTGAGTGTGTGTTTTTTTGTTTTTGTTTTTGTCCTGGCACTTTCCCCTGGAAAACCCGTTTTTTACTGTTGAATCAGAACAAATTGCAATTGATGGAATATCTGCTGTGATTGAGTGGTAAAACACGGGTTTACCTGGGGAAAGCAACAGTACATAAAAAAACAACAACACCAACCCACTGAGAGCTGGACCCAGAAACCCCAGACCTGTGCCCAGAAATGCAGCCAAAAAGGAAGTGTGGATGAGCCCAGTGTGTGGGCAGAGGAGGCTGAAGCCTCTCCTTCTCTGCTGTGACCTTAGTAAAAATTGCCCTGTGCTATTATGTGGGAATATATCCTGAAATCATGGCTGTGAAAGGAGAGCTTAAAGCTTCCCTTCCCAAATGATATCCCCTACACAAACACACACTCACGTCTGGCATTTAATTTTTAAGCCCTCGTGCTGTGAATACCAATCATGCCATAGTTATCAAAAATTGTCCATTAAAGGAAGAAACAATACTTTTCATTTCAGGACAATTTCTATCTTAAATTCAAGCTTTTAAAAGATTGAACCCTCAACTATATCGGAAACCAAATATTTTGCTACTGAAAATAATCTCTGAAATAATTAACTGAAAAGTTGGGTGAGCTGGTCAAATAATTAACTGAAAAGTTGAGTGAGCTGGGTCAAATAATTAACTGAAAAGTTGAGTTACATCTGCTGCAGCATATGCTTTTGGTGAAGAGCAACACTGTAAAAGTTTTACTAAGAACAAACTCTTACTTTTATGTTCCATCCAAATCTCATTATTAGTATACTGACTAAGAACTATCTGCACACCCTAGCATTGGTGTATGCTGTGAAGGAGATAAATGAAAACCACTATATCTTACCAAATGTTACCTTGGGCTTCCATATCTATGAATGTTATTCCATTGCACATTGGACCTACATTGGCATATTACAACTTCTCTCAGCAAAGAACAGATTCTTCCCAAACTATAAGTGTGGTGTTCAGAACCAACTGATGGCTGTCATTGGGGCTCTTTATTCTGAAACCTCCCTCCACATGGCAACACTATTGGGCATGTACAAAATTCCACAGGTAGGATATATCATGGCCAGTCACATATGACTTTCTGCTGTGGATACATCATGTTTTAGATAAGCTTTCAGATCTGCACATATGACATACAGCAAAGCTAAATGACAAAGTCACTTGATCTTGGCTTGTGGTTTTGAGTCCCATGTTGGGTGAAAGATTCCTGTACTGCAAGGATATATCCAGTAAAGCCACTTGTAAAAGGGGGTTTGACCAAATGGCCATTGTGGTCCCTTCCAACTCCATAATTCTATGTTTCTAAGGCAAAATGTATTTGGCCATCACTGTGCACATCCCTGTATAAATGATATATAAATACATTATAAACATAAATAATTATATAAAAATAATAAATTAAGTATACATATATAAAATTAGATTTACAGATTATAAAAGCTAATAATTAACTTATAAATAATAATTATAACTGTGATGACATATAAAATGAATATTTATTACTCATGTAATATAGAAACACATTGGAATGTGGATTCAAATTATACTGAAATATAGTAATGGTTAGTTGTTATTATGTTATTACTTCAGGGAATCAAAATGCACAGTCAGGCTTCTTTATTTCTCTTAACGTATCCCATTCCATCCTATCCCCCTTATATCTTTCCACAGTTCACATATGGCTCTGTTCCACTGATACTTGATAAAGCTGAAACTTATTCATTCTACCAGATGGTCCCAAATGAAACCTATGAGCATAAAGGAATTCTCCTGTTGCTTTTGCACTTCCAATGGACATGGGTTGGGGTCATTGCCACAAATGATGAGAATGGAGATAGATTTGTGTGGACAATAACAACAATGTTTCCCCAACAGGGAATCTGTTTTTCCTTCATAGAAAGAATTGAAGTAATTTATATCAATGATCTGTATGGAGCTATAGGTTCAATGGTGAGAATATATAATGTTTCCATGGAGAGTAATGCCAATGCAGTTGTTGTGTATGCAGAAAACATAATAAATTTCAGGTGGCTGTTATACATTCCAGAAATTGAATATGACATAATGCCGCCCAAATGTAAAGTGTGGATTCTAACAGTCCAGCAGGAACTCAGTTCATACCCTTATCAAAAGGGCTGGGATTTACAAGTCATCCAAGGTGCTTTGGGCTTCACCATTCAGTCCAATGAAGTATTAGGATTCCATGATTTCTTACGGACCAGAAACCATCTGGGGACCAAAGAAGATGGTTTTATCAGTGATTTCTGGGTACAGGCATTCAAGTGTCTTTTACCACATATTTTTGTTAGCACAGAGGGTGAGAAATCCTGCACTGGAAATGAGAAGCTAGACAGCCTCTCTGGGGATTTTTTTGAAATGAAGATGATTGGCCACAGCTACAATATCTACAATGCTGTCTATGCTGTGGCCTATGGCTTGCATGTCATGCAATTATTCAAGCACGAAAGAACGATTAATTTTCAGGATCCGCAGCCATGGCAGGTAATGGCCCAAGCATGGAAATATGAGTTAGCACCATGTTTGTGTCTGTTTTTAACAATTCTTACATATGCAGTGTTTTCTTGAACTTATCTTCTTTACCACTTTCATCTCATCACCATATTTAAATGGACCGGGCACAGTCCACCACAGCCCGCCTCTTCATGTGGCTCCCTAAAGTGAAAGTGGTAAGATCACTTGCCAACTACTTGATAGAACTGACGGAGCCCAATTTGAGAAGAGCGTTTACTATGGCCCGTTTCCATTCTATACCCACGGCCTTCCTCCAGGGGATTTACTCTAAGACCCCTATTACTCAGCGTCTATGTCCATGCACAATGAATGAAGTAGAGGACTTCATACATTTCTTTTTCTACTGCCCTATTTATGAGCCAATAAGATCTAAGCTCCTCCTCTTGATCCCGTCCACCATTACGTCTAAGGAAGACTGTTTGAAAACGCTTCTTGTGGACGCAAATCCCCAAATTTCACGTGGGGTGGCAATCTTCATAGTGCAGGCTCTGAAACTCAGGGCTACTCGGACAGGGTAGTGTGTCCTAGACCTGGACCTGTTTTAATTCTATTTATTACATTTTTTTTTTAGACTCAATGTGCCAAGCTTATTTTGGGGCCATTTTATGCTTTATATATATCCGCATATTAGTTTTTTGGCGCTGGCAACTAAATCTTTGCATCATTGTTTTAGGGTAATTTAAATGTCATTACGTCAGCAATATCGCCTTGAATTTTGCTTGGTTGCTTGTCTCTAGCATTTTTGTATTGTCTTATTTTGCTATGGCTGTATGCTAATGCAATAAAGGTTTGACTGACTGACTTAAATGTTAAATGAAGAGAGAGAGAGAAAGATTATAGAAACTGCATATATATATTCACTAATACCTTTTTATATGAAAACTGTTGCGTTTTAGGAGCACTACACACATTGTAGTCCTCCAGTTATCTATTGGCTCCAGAAAAGTATTCTTTTCTCCCAGCACCATCAAATATTTCATTCTGATATTTCTAAAACAATCCAAAAGAAGGGGAATGAATTCTCATGCACCCTCCATTCCCTTCTCCTTCATCTACATCATTCTTTTCTGATCAGGGAATCAGGAATGAATTATCTGATAAAGTGACGGTCATTAGCCCAATATAACACCAATTTGTGAAAGTAATATTGTGAATGATGAGTGGTGAAGAGTCCAACGTGAGGAATGGGATAAAATGCAGCTCCAACCATTGCTTTTTCCATAGTGAAACAATGTCTATTGCTGAAAAGCAGGCTATATGGGATGTATCTGGAATGTTCTAGAACAACATGATAGATATCCTTTTGTGCTGTATTTCTTCACATTTCTTCTTTTGGCCTTCTTTTTATACCACAGGCCTTTGATTAGGGAAAACAAAACTTAAAATAGTCTGGATATGTTCTTTGGATTACAGGTCTCCTACTTATTCAACAGTCTCCTATGCATTAATAGAATGGTGTTCTTAAATCAAAGATGTTTTGAATCATAAGCTATCCTAGGCTCGGTAGATCTTGTAGAATTTGTATCAAGTGGAGTAGACAGTACTGATATTATTAGAAGACAGTTTCATATGTAGGCCATTGAAATCTTTGCAGAATATATATTTTCTTTCTCATCTTAGCTCCACCACTTTGTGAAGAGAGTCTCATTTAACAACAGTGCTGGCGATGAGATTTCTTTTGACCAGAGTGGAGAACTGGAAGCTGGATTTGATATTATCAACTGGGTGACTTTCCTAAATCAGTCCTTTCGAAGAGTGAAAGTTGGGAGGTTGCAAGCCAGAGCAAAAGCATTCACCATTAATGAAGGTGACATCACATGGCACAGTGGTTTCAAGCAGGTAGTTTCAAGTAATTTTGAAATCTTGCCAATTAAGGCCAAACAGTAAGGGAGCATTCCTAAGGATGAAAACCCAACACAAATTATGCCATCTTAAATTAAGCAAACATACCGTACATAGAATCAAAATTCCATGCAGGAGCAGGGCTACCATTGGCTGATTTGGTTTGAGCTCAGCAGAGGGAAAACAAGACTTTAAAATACAGTACAGTTAGAGTTACACCAGAGTAAAGGAGCAGATCCCACATTGATCTGATCATTTTTAATTGTTCAGCCATCAATTGTTGAACAATACCAGCAGTCACTGGGAGATCCAAAAGTATTTTTACAACCATGGATGCTTTTGATGTTCTGTTTAATATTAGCAACTCAGCTTACTTTAACATTTCCTTTTCTTTTTTATAATTTTTATTACACATTTTTTGGTTTACGAAAGTAATTTCCACCTAAGAATTATAGCTGCAATGTATTAATTCATTAAAAAAGTCATTTTTCATGGCTAGCGATAGCCACTTCACTTTCATTTTCTTAGTTTTTTAGTACAGGAAACAGAAAAGAAATAAAGATTTTCACACAGGGATTCACCTCATCTGTTTAATCCTTCTGGTCAACCATAAATCAAGCTTTTCATTCAGTTTTAGACATTTAACAATCAGTTTTCCTTTCACTTTTTCTTAAGTGAGAGAAGATGGTACTGTAATTGCAAATTTCCAGATTGCACATTTCCTCCACAAGAGGATTTCCTCCTCTTAACAGTTACAATTTTCCCTGTCCCAGAAGTATTTTAAAAAGAGTCTTCTTTACCAATAAAAGTGATCGTGCATTGGGCATGTTAACAACTTCTCAGCTTGCCAGCTTGCTCTAACACAATCAAAGCATTTTGATGGTAACTTCAAAATGGCCTCAATCAAAGCATTTGAAGTTAACTTCCTAGATCACCCTTATCTCCAAACTAATAGTCAGACAATCTGCCTGACTAATCAGTCACCACATGATTATCTTCAGTCAGCCAAAGCCAACAGAGAGACAGCCTAACTGCTATTCCTCTATCCCAGAAGTCCTCAACAAACTTTAATGATGGATATTGCCCTTTTTGGCTTCTAACAATGTGAAGTCATTTGAAAACAATGAGTTCCTGATTCTTTCCATCTGTGTACAGTTGCAAGGGGTTGCTAACATGGTGTAGCCAGGATTTATGTTGGCGGGGGGCACAACCTCAGTTAGTTAAGTATTTTTATTGATTTTTTATTTTATTTTGAGGGCAGCTACCCCCTGCCTCCATGTCTCCGCCCATGGTTGCAAAGTAGAGTAAAAGTTCAAATATATTTGAACAAAAGAGCACATATCAAAATGATAACTTTAAACAATGCTAGATCCTAAATGCTGACTAGGAAAACATTCTAAAGTTTAAGATAGAACAGAGGCTGATATGCACACAAAATTATGTTCAGAATACACCCACCGAAATCAGTAGACCCATTGAAATCAGTAAATTAAGACACTGTCATTGCTTTGCTGAAATCAAGTCATGTATTTAGCTTTCTGTCTTTCTACCATTTTATGTTGAAAATTAATGGAAGAAGATGGAAAAGTAAAAGAAAGAAAAAGGGGAAAGAGAAAGCTATAATTCAGAGCCCTGAGATACATACAGAGATATAGAGGTAATTGAGTTTGTGTAAAATGTCTATCTTGTTGCCCAAATATATTTGCTGAATAATTTTTGTTTGTTATTTTGAAATTTCTGGGTTACCGATTATTTGTATCACTGGTATGTAATGACAAGGTTTTCATCATTTTCTCTCATTTATGCAAAGGCCCAGCCTATTTCTGTATGTTCAGACAAGTGCCATCCAGGTTATAGCAAGAAAATGAAGGAAGGGGCACCATTTTGCTGCTATGATTGCATCCCCTGTCCAAATGGGAAGATTTCAAGCCGTGAGGGTAAGGTTTTTGGTGTACAGGGTTATCATACATTCCTGAAGAACTTATATGAAAGATCCATGGACAAGTGACAGTTGAGGGCAGAGCACAAAGATTTCCCCCATCTTTCTCATCCCCTAACAGCAGACATCAGTTTCCACATGAAGGAGTAAAAATACTAGTTTTCATTAAAGGGTAGGTGGAAATATTGTAGTGACAATTGAGGTTGTGCTGCTGCTGATGTTGTTTTTTCATTGGCTTAATCAGAATCAGAATAGGCTCTGGATCCATTCCAGTCCGGCTTCCGCGTTGGTCATGGGACCGAGACAGCTCTGGTTGCCCTAACAGATGATCTCTGCAGGCAGCTGGATCAAGGCGGGTTGAGGCTGTTGATTCTTCTAGACCTGTCAGCAGCCTTCGACATGGTCGATCACAAACTCCTGAACCACTGCCTTGCCGACATGGGGATCCAGGGCACAGTCCTTCAATGGCTGCGCTCGTTTCTCTCTGGTTGGGGACAGAGGGTGGCTCTTGGGGGGGAATTGTCATCGCGCCACTCCTTGGTGTGTGGAGTGCCTCAGGGTGCAATACTCTCCCCGATGCTTTTTAACATCTTTATGCACCCCCTCGCCCAGCTTGTCCGGAGTTTTGGGCTGGGCTGCCATCAGTATGCTGATGACACCCAACTCTGTTGATGGATGGCCATTTTGACTCGGCCCCAGACACACTGATCAGATGTGGCTGGATGGTTTGGAAGCTGTGGCTGGATGGTTATGTGGGAGCCGGAAGTTAAATCCTTTGAAGACAGAGGTCCTCTGGCTGGGACGGGACGATATGGGATTGAGGGGGTAACTCCCATCTCTTGCGGGGGTGCAATTAGTGCCAGCACCGTCCGTTAAGAGTTTGGGTGTAATCTTCAATACCTCCCTCTCCATGGAGGCGCAGATTACAGCTATAACAAAGGCGGCATTTTTTCATCTCCGCCAGGCTAAGCAGTTGGCTCCTTACCTCTCTCACCCTGACCTAGCCACTGTGATCCACCCTACGGTCACCTCCAGACTGGATTATTGTAACTCGCTCTATGTGGGGCTGTCCTTGAGACTGACCCAGAAACTCCAGTGAGTGCAGAATGCCATGGCGAGACTTCTTACGAGGTCTTCGCTGCGAGATCACATTCACCTGGTGCTATACCAGCTGCACTGGCTCCCGGTGGAGTACAGGATCAGGTTTAAGGTGCTGGTTTTAACCTTTAAAGCCCTATACGGCCTAGGACCCTCGTACCTACGGGACCGCGTCTCCTGGTATGTCCCACAGAGGAACTTACGGTCTTCAAATAAAAACATCCTGAAGGTCCCAGGCCACAGAGAGGTTAGGCTGGCCTCAACTAGAGCCAGGGCTTTTTCGGCTGCGGCTCCAATCTGGTGGAATGCTCTGTCACAAGAGACTAGGGCCCTGTGGGACTTGACATCTTTCCGCAGGGCCTGCAAGACAGAGCTGTTCCACCAGGCCTTTGGCCAGGGCACAGCCTGATTCCCTCCTTTGGCAATCTTCACAGAACTTTAGCTTAATGGTTGCCATCAATTTGATTTTAATTAATTGTTATAATGAAATGTTTTTAGAATGTTGCACTATTTTATTGTTGTTAGCCGCCCTGAGCCCGGCTTCGGCTGGGGAGGGCGGGATATAAATAAAATTTATTTATTTATTATTATTATTATTATCTCCAGAAAGGTTTCTCTGAGGCTTTAAAAAAATCACCAAAATCCAATTCATACTCTATGATAAGCTCTCATGCCAAATAACACTGTCACAAGCCTATTACATTGTTGGAGTATTAGAACAAAACAAATACAATTAGATTTGAGAAACAAGAATAAACCTTTTTTCTCTTCCAATTTTCAGACATGGATGACTGTTCTGAATGTGCAGAAGATCAGTATCCCAACAAGGACCAGGATCTGTGTGTTCGCAAGACAGTAACCTTCTTGTCTTATGAAGAACCACTTGGGATCATCTTAGCCATCTTTTCAGTTTTCTTTTCGTTCTTCACAGCTTTGGTTCTAGGAATATTTATCAAGCAACATGACACTCCCATTGTCAAAGCCAACAACCGAAGCCTTTCGTATATTCTCCTCATTGCCCTCTTGTTCTGCTTCCTTTGTGCTTTGCTTTTCATCGGCCCACCTCTGAAAGTAACATGCCTTCTCCAACAAATTAGTTTTGCTATAGTTTTCTGTGTTGCTGTTTCTTGCATATTGGCCAAAACCATGACAGTGGTTCTGGCTTTCATGGCTACCAAACCAGGAAGCATGATGAGGAAATGGCTGGGCAAACCACTGGCCATATCCATTGTCCTTTCATGCTCTCTTATCCAAGCATCAATTGGTGTCATATGGTTGGCAACCTTTCCGCCATTCCCAGATGCTGACATGCACTCAGAGACTGAAGAAATTATACTGGGATGTAATGAGGGGTCTGTGATTATGTTTTTCTGTCTTCTTGGCTATATGGGTTTTCTTTCCATTGTTTGCTTCTGCATAGCTTTCCTTGCCAGGAAGTTACCTGACAGCTTCAATGAAGCCAAGTTTATCACTTTCAGCATGTTAGTCTTCTGCAGTGTTTGGTTGACCTTTGTTCCAACCTACCTGAGTACCAAGGGAAAATACACAGTGGCTGTGGAGGTCTTCTCCATTTTAGCTTCTGGTGCTGGTTTACTGGCTTTCATCTTTTTACCAAAATGTTACATTATTGTTTGGAGGCCTGATTTGAACAAAAGGGAACGACTAATTAAGTGAAAACATTAAAATTATTAATTGTAAGCAGTTCTTTTAGATAAGACTGAATTTCAGCTCTTTTTTTTCAGCATTTCATTCAATATCTGCAAACACAAAATTCTCCATGTCTCTCATGTATACTGAATGTATCGATTTCTCTTCCCCTTCTGCTGTCTCAATCTGTATATTTTCATCTATAAGGGAAAAATCCTATAGCATGATCTTTCAGCTTCACCTTTGAGCCAGTGCCACCGACTGGGCTCAACCTCTTCAGCCCTGACTGGGCCAGGCGAGCTGGAAAGCACTTCCAGAGACCTTCCACGCAGGAAGCAGGTCTAAGTGCTGTGGACTCACAACTCAGAGCTGTGAGCACCAAACTCACTTCCAGTAGTCAGCGGAGCACAGCAGAGCATGAACCACACGAACGACATCTTCTGTAGAATAACTTCTTTTATTCTCTACAGCTACTATACAAACTAACTACAGACTAAATGGAGACACTGGACTGCACTGAGTGTTGCAGCTGCATGAGCAGCGACCTTATCTATACACAGATAACACTCAGACTCCCCCTTTGAAGTCAGGCTGGAGCAGAATAAGTAATGAGCAAAATCTGCCCCCTCCTTTCTGAAACATCAGCAGATTCTAGCAATGGGAGGGGTGAAATATCCTCAAGATCCACCAGCATGAGTTGGGTAAGGATCCAAAAGATCTCAAGCAGAACTGGTAGGTTCCCAGTACAGTCAGGCTATGCTGTTGAAACTCTGCATCCATGGCTCAGTCAGAGATACACAAGTATAAACCCCCTCTCCCAGCTCACTGGGATTCAGCTCTTTGAAATTAAATGTGTGTAAGCCATGAAAAGGGGGTGTTGTGGAGGCAGGATGGGGGGAGGGCTAAATTGGATCCTAAGCACATTCCGCCAGTCATGCGAGCTGGCAACTTGTCATAATTTGGGATATCAAGAAGGATGGTGCAACTCTAAATATATGGCTGAAAAATTGTGTTGCAACATTTTTTAAGATGTGTGTTTGTTTAAGTAGCTGAGCTTTTTTGGGAGATTTTTTAAAAAATTAGTCCCTTTGCCATATGTACAGGTTTTCCTGGAAATTTTGCATATATATGGGATCTTTTGAAGGAAGGGTGGAATAATAAATAAAGAGACCGCCCCACCAAAAAATTATTTGTCATTCTTTTTTAAAAAACAACAACACCAACACTACTAAATTAACTATTTATTTTTGACCTATGTATTTTTGACCTATGTACATTGTATTATGGTAAATTGGAATAAAATACATGTAGTAGCGAAAGTAAAACAACAGTACATTCTATTTGGAAATTAAAGAAATGTGTATATTAGGTGACACTGTGTACAACATGTGAATCTTAAGATATATGCACACTAGAATGTTCATAATTTTTTAAAGGAAATAATAATCACAAAGAAATGTTATGAACTAAGTTTAACAATGGAAAAATGAGAAACTGAGGAAGACCCACCCAGGTGCAACCATTTTTGCATTGAAACCATAATTTTCATTTTTAACAATCTCAAATTTCTTGAGATGTAATTTCAAAATAAGTATTCCCCTAGAGAATTGTCTTTCATAGTGACAAACATGTTTGCTGAAGCAATACCACAGAGGAACTTTCTGAAAACAGGTAATTTTCATCCACCTCCCTAGATCATTCAATTGAGTGTGGTCAGTTTTGCTTCCTCTTGAATACACTGCCCAAGTTGTGCAGGCACTAGCAAAACAAATAACCATGAGCATAGTGAGTGGCATAAATACACCCTACACTGCTGCTACCTGGGGCTCCAGTGTAGAGTAAAGTGGAATCCTACTAGCATACTCCTGGAGATTCTAAGGAGGATGGGGAAACAAGGAATTTGGTGTTTTGCAGAAAGATCTGAGGAAAGATTTGCATTTACGATATTACTGGTCTTTTTGCATATTATGATGCCTCACATGGCACAGCAAAGTAATCATTGCATTATTAGTGATCCCATCACTGTTCGTCATAGGTATCTACAGTCTGGTGATCTCATAATTGGTGGAATTATTTCTCAGTTTTTGTTGCCTGATCAACTGCATAGCTTTGATAAAGACCCTCATGATGAACAGATTGAAGAAACTCTGTAAGCCTGCCTGCCTGCCCTCCCTCTCTCCTTTCCAGCCTTCCTCCATTCCATTAAGTAGGCCTTTCCAGGTCACAAAGACCAGCTGCATGGATTGAATTTAGCAACAATAATATGTGAACTGTTTTCTTTGCGTAGAGTATATGCATGGACTGCAGCCAGTAAAAGAGCATGTATTAGTGGGATTGCCATGGGCACCACAAAAGGCTCATCCATGATTAGCTTTGCTCTGCACTTTGTAGGAAAAGGTTTGGACTTTCCACATCCCAGTCTGGGTGTGTATTTCTTTCTTTTTTGGTTGTTTTTAATGGGACTTCCCCCTGGAAAATCTGTGTTTTACTGTTGAATCAGAACAAATTGCAATCCATGGAAAATATGCTGTGATCCAGTGGTAAAACATGGGTTTTCCTGGGGAAAGCACTGGGACAGAAAAACAAAACAAAAGACCCCAATGAGAGCTGGACCCAGAAAGCCGGGACCTGTGCCCCAAAATGCAGCCCAAAAGGAAGTGTGGATGAGCCCAGAATGTGGCCAGAGGAGGATTAAACCCCTCCTTCCCCACTGAGACCTTGGTAAAAATTGCCCTGTGCTGTTATTTGGGAATAAAGCTTCCCTTCCCACATGCTATGGTTTTCATGATAACCCGTACACACACACACACACACACACACGTCTGGCATTTAATTCTTAAGTATTCATGGCATGAATACCAATCATGCCATAGTTATAGAAAATTATCCATTAAAGCTATATATATATATATATATATATATATATATATATATATATATAATTTCAGTTTTCTGACAAGACCATTTCCATTGTGAATTCAAGCTTTTAAAAGCCCTCAACTATATTGGAAGCCAGTGATTTTGCTACTGATAGTAATCTCTTCCTAATTTTCCTAAATAATGCTAGCAATTACATCAATCATTACAAACTCAAGCTTATACTGAATTGTAGCCCTTTACGTCTTTCCAAAAAGCTTATCACCAGTCACCAAGCAGTCATAGAATGGGTTTGCATGCATGCCTATTCCAAATATATTAAATAACTGAAAAGTTGGGGTGCGGGTATCTGCTGTAGCATATGCTCTTTGTGAAGAGCAACACTGTAAAAGCTTACAGATAGGTAGCCATGTTGGTCTGCCACAGTCAAAATAAAAAAATTCCTTCCAGTAGCACCTTAAAGACCAACTAAGTTAGTTCTTGGTATGAGCTTTCGTGTGCATGCACACTTCTTCAGATACTTCTTCAGTGTGTATCTGAAGAAGTGTGCATGCACACGAAAGCTCATACCAAGAACTAACTTAGTTGGTCTTTAAGGTGCTACTGGAAGGAATTTTTTTATTTTGACTGTAAAAGCTTAACTAAGAACAAACTCTTACTTTCATCTTTCATCCAAATCTCATTATAGTATACTGACTAAGAACTATCTGCACACTCTAGCATTGGTGTATGCTGTGAAGGAGATAAATGAAAACCACTATATCTTACCAAATGTTACCTTGGGCTTCCATATATATGAATGTTATTTCGTTCCACATTGGACCTACCTTGGCATATTGCAACTTCTTTCAGCAGAGAACAGATTTTCCCCAAACTATAAATGTGGTGTTCAGAACCAACTGATGGCTGTCATTGGGGCTCTTTATTCTGAAACCTCCCTCCACATGGGAACACTATTGGGAATGTACAAAGTTCCACAGGTAGGATATATCATGACCACTGATAGTCCCCAACCCCAGATATATATGACTTTGTGCTGTGGATACATCGTGTTTGAGATAAGTTTTCAGACCTGCACATAAGACATACAGATAAATGACAAAGTCACTTGACCTTTGCTTGTGGTTTTAAGCCCCATGTTGGGTGAAAGATTCCTGCATTGCAGGGATATATCCAGTAAGGCTACTTGGAAAAGGGGGTTGGACTAGATGGCCCTTGTGGTCCCTTCCAACTCCACAATTCTGTAATTCTATGATTCTAAATGGTAAAATGTATTTGGCCGTCACTGTGTACACCCCTATACAAATGTTATATAAATACATTATAAATGTAAATAATGGATCCATTATGGATCCATTCCAGTCCGGCTTCCGCGCTGGTCATGGGACCGAGACGGCTCTGGTCGCCCTAACAGATGATCTTCGTAGACAGCTGGATCGAGGCGGGTCGGGGCTGCTGATTCTTCTAGATCTGTCAGCAGCTTTCGACATGGTTGATCACGAACTTCTGGACCACCGCCTCGCCGACGTGGGGATCCAGGGCACAGTCCTTCAATGGCTGCGCTCGTTTCTCTCTGGTCGGGGACAGAGGGTGGCGCTTGGGGGGGAACTGTCATCCCGCCACTCCTTGGTGTGTGGAGTGCCTCAGGGTGCGATTCTCTCCCCGATGCTTTTTAACATCTTTATGCGCCCCCTCGCCCAGCTTGTCCGGAGTTTTGGGCTGGGCTGCCATCAGTATGCTGATGACACCCAACTCTATCTGTTGATGGATGGCCATCCTGACTCGGCCCCAGACACACTGATCAGATGCTTGGAAGCTGTGGCTGGATGGTTACGTGGGAGCCGGTTGAAGTTAAATCCTTCGAAGACAGAGGTCCTCTGGCTGGGACGGGACGATATGGGATTGAGGGGGCAACTCCATCTCTTGCGGGGGTGCAATTAGTGCCAGCACCGTCCGTTAAGAGTTTGGGTGTAATCTTCGATACCTCCCTCTCCATGGAGGCGCAGATTGCAGCTATAACAAAGGCGGCATTTTTTCATCTCCGCCAAGCTAAGCAGTTGGCTCCTTACCTCTCTCGCCCTGACCTAGCCACTGTGATCCACGCGACGGTCACCTCCAGACTGGATTATTGTAACTCGCTCTACGTGGGG